CATTTGACACTCCATGACGCTTACTTTTAATTAAAGCTAAAATAACTAAACCATAAAAGTAGCGCTGCCATGGTATAGCGAAATTTGCTATTATATTTTGGTTACAATATCTTATTTAGATGAAAGTAAGAAGAAGAAGAAGAAGAAAAGTGTATAGTGTAAACTGAGTATAATAGCGCAAATGAAATGTGAAATAAAGTGGCAATACCAGCGATTTGAGGTTATAATAATTTTAGCAGGCGCAAAGTTTATTTACTCAGTTTTATTAACGAAATATATAAAATAAAAGTGAATAAATGATTTGGTTTGCATAAAATAATAACCGGAAACGTTTTAGTAGTGTTTTAAAAGTGGAAACTGGTGATTTAGTGCATTTTTGACGTGGTAACTGCTCATAGAAAACAACGAAATTTAACAAAAGTATTTTGTTCATAACTTTTAAATGGTTAATAATATTACTCCCCCTCCTCCGGATTGTTATTAGGAGGCCGAAACGCGTCGTTTGGTACCCTTCCCGACTTTTCCGCACCTTTTTTAGGGGTTGTTACCCCACCCTAGAGAATTACCCTGTAATCTCGCTCATTTTCTTTTTTTTTCAAATTTGTAGCGAATTTAAGGAAAATTTTGCTGCGAGATTTGCAAGCACGTGAAGACGTCCGGTAAAGGGAAATCTCGTCTTTTTGACAAAACGCTTGTGGGGGTGTTTGGCTCTTTACTAGGATAAGTATCGCCTTGGATAAGTATCGATAATTTTTCAACATACCTAGTCAATTCCCCCAAAGGCGTAAACAAATATTTTAATTTTCCCAGATTTACAAGAGAATACGATATTTCTTTGTTAAGAAACTCGTAATGGAAAATACTACCCACCCTGCAACAATTGTGTCCCGAAGGAAAAGTACGGTATGGACACGGGAGAAAATTACACAATTGATCGAATTGTATCGACAACATGACTGTTTGTGGAACCATTATACTGAGGCATACAAAAATAAAGAAAAACGAACAAAAGCTATTGAAAATATATGTTCAACCCTACGCATTACAAAAATGGATTTTGGTAAGAAGATCCATAACTTGCGTAATCAATTCAATTCAGAGATGAAAAAGCTTGAGAGAAGGGTCGAGGAAACTGGAGACGACAAAGAATCGAACGCAGCAAGTTGCCGATGGAAACATTTTCAAGCACTAAGATTCCTTCGGGATATTATTGAACCACGTCCAGGTGGATACCAATCTAAAATGCGCAAAATCGATCCCAATCTAAAGTACGACAATACCAGTGAAGATGAAATTGAACAGCAAAATTTAAAGTCCACAACTGCACCAAATTCCAACGATACATTAGAGCAAATTACACGGTATCATTTGGAAGAAGCGACTATAGTTGATCATTATGAAGAACGTACGACTGACCAAGGATCCACAGACAGAACTATAAGTAGCAATGTCAAACAAAGTGAAACTCCTTCAACGCTAGTAATTAGTAATGAAAGAAACAGTGTGAACTCATCCCCACAAACAAACCCACGGGTTCCAAACGTGTGTCTTATAGATCAAAATAAGGCTATTAAAGATCTGGTTAAAAAAGCGCCCTTCCAACAAATATCTCAATGTGAGGAAATAGTTATTGAAGAATTGCATCATGACCAAGTCTCACGCTGCTGCCACATGGCTAAGGGAGATCAATGTGGACAAATAACTTCGGAGATAAAAAGTAAAAAAAAAGGTTTAGATGAAAGTTGCATGATTCTCAGATCGCGTGATCAGTGGGATGCTTTTGGTGAATTAATTGCTACAGAATTCCGACATCTCAATTCAGATTTTTCACGGAGAAAACTTAAACGTAAGATAATGCAGGCTATGCTAGAAATTAGCGAAGAAGATGATGCAGATTTTACATAATTTATAAAAAAAAATGTAATATTAGGTAGTAATAAATGTAATATTCATCGTTAAGATTTTTTTAAGCATTGGCGAACAAAGCGGCTACGGCTTAGTTATATGTACAATGATTTGGGGTTTTTGTGTCCAAATGCGTTACCTGAATCTAAAAACTTTAATATACAAAAGGATTAAATTTTACCCACCTATTATGGATTCCGTCGGAACGACGGGAAAATGCTATCAATTACAACGAGATTACGAAATTCTCCAACAATTTCGAAATTCGGGAGATTGGCATTATTGATTAAGTAGCTGTTAGACGTGGCAAGTGCAAGTCCTTTTCAAAAGTCTGTCAAACTCAAGAATCTCCAAAAAAGATTGCAGGAGCAGTAACACCTCCATGTAAAGTGACTTTCGAAAGCACATTTTATTTCTGAAAATCAAACTTTCCGATACTACTTTGTGTCTGTTTACACGGCGAATGCAGACAAGCCCACTTTCAACTATCTTTCCAGACATTTTTATGCTAATAATAAAACATGACCTGAAAAATTTGCTAAACACTGCTAAAATTTTCTCAAAACAATTTTATTAAACATTCTTATAATTCTATTCAACAATTTTTATGAGCTTGAGGCCGTTTTAAGTGAAAACTCATTGTGGAAAAGCAACAATAATTTGAAAAAATGGTAGAAGTGATAGCTATTTCGGAAATCACCACATTTCCTCATCAGACTTCTTTCAGTAGGATTCGAACCGACGATCACCACTGACTCAGCCAGTTGCCTACGCACTGTGCTAAGTTTGTCTTGTTGCTTATATTCCACTATTTCACTTTGCTAAGCCAACTACAATCAAGCGCAGCTATTCCGCTGCAATTCACTTGATCATGTGGTTGTTGAATTTGTTGGTTTTTGTAAATATTTCTAATATTTAACTTTTAGGTGTGCTCGTCCTTAAGTTATTTGTTTTTGTTATTTTTATGGCCTTATAACAATTATATTCAACATTTTTATGAGCTTGAGGCCGTTTTAAGTGCAAACTTATTGTGGAAAAGCAACAATAGGCAACTGGTTGAGTCAGTGGTGATCGTCGGTTCGAATCCTACTGAAAGAAGTCTGATAAGGAAATGGTGTGATTTCCGAAATAGCTATCACTTCTACCATTTTTTCAAATTATTGTTGCTTTTCCACAATAAGTTTTCACTGAAAACGGCCTCAAGCTCATAAAAATTGTTGAATATAATGGGAAATGTTTAGTTATTGGCCCATCGTTTTTGGGGTGGAGGGGGAGGGGGCGTGGCTCCCAAGCCCCCCTCATTCGAAAGGGGACAGTCGCCACTTTACGAAAAGCCCCACCCACCCCCTTGGGGACCTCCCACAGACCCTTAGGGAACCGTTTGAAAATGGGGTAAAAACGGCATTTTCCGAAGCAAACTGAGCAGTTTGAAGTGGAATATAACCCAACTAACGAAAACCGTGGGATTTTTAAATAAAAGAAATTATCCCAAGTTGGTTATCAGGCGATTTGAAAAAAAAAATTAACTAAAAAAAAAAATTAAGGAAAAAAAAATTTACTAAAAATATTGTGAAATTAAGAAAAAAGCGACAGATAGAAATGTTGTAGTAATAGTAATATGATAGTATTTTAGTGCAGAACTTCTTTTTGCGTAGGCGGCCTTCGGCCGCACTTAGGGATTATAACCCTCACTACGTAGAATTCTCTTCTGTGTTGCCAAAGAAAGGGGGCTGAAC